AGAATAAAAGGGTTGGGGCTGCTGACATCACATCCAATATGGTGGAACCCAATAGAAGTCTTGGAGCTTCAAAACATACATAAAATGCATTAAAGATAGTCTTATAGGAAGTTTTTTTTTAAATGACCGGTCTGGAGATATCAATAACCCTTAACCTCCAGCGCCTAGCCTGATTTCTAATCCTGAACCCCCCCCCCCCCCATATGAAACCTAAAACTTACAGTGTAACTGTAGACTATATGTCAATACATGTGCAGAATTTACATGATTGGCCCCAAGTATCGCTCCCCTCCCCGTTCCTTCCAGAGTAGGGGCACTCTAATACAGGAGATGTGTTACTGGCCAGATCACCAGGTGAGTACAAAGGGGAATAAAGCCTAGGAAAAGAAAACTAATGCAGCCACCACATCTAATTGTTGGTATATATATATGGCAATATATATCTATAACCGATCGATCGATCGATAGATAGATAATGTGTGTGTGTGTGTGTGTATATATATATATATCCTTCCACTGGCTCCCGATTGCCCAACGCATTAAATTCAAACTACTACTAACACAGACATACAAAGCCATTCATAACGCTGCCCCAAACTACCTCCCTACACGTAATCTTTGCTCCTCACAAGACCTCCTACTTTCTAGCTCCCTGGTCTCCACCTCCCACGCCCGAATGCAGGACTTCTCCAGGACTTCCCCCATCCTCTGGAACTCACTACCCCAATGCATCAGACTGTCACCTACCCTCCTCACCTTTAGGCGCACCCTGAAAACCTATCTCTTCAGGGAAGCCTACCCCGCCCTCACCTTACAGCCGATCTCCTCCTACCACTCCATCCCCCACAGCCACTTCCTCCTGTACCACTATCCCCTCCCTCCTAGATTGTAAGCTCAAAAGAGCAGGGACCTCGAACCCCTCGTTACTGTATTGTCCCATGTACTATCTCCCACTATAATGTACAGCGCTGAGCAAACCCTTTGGAGCTATATAAATACTGTATAATAATAATATATAATAATATATATATATATACACACATATATAGAGATAGATAGGTGTGTGTGTGTGTATGTATATGTGTTTGTATGTATATATGTGTGTGTATATATGTATATATATATATATATATATTTATATATATATATATATACACACATAGAGAGATAGATGTGTATATGTGTGTATATACATACTGGTCTCATCTGACCACATGACTTTCTCCCATCCCTCCTCTGGATCATCCAGATGGTCATTGGCAAACTTCAGACGGGCCTGGACATGTGATGACTTGAGCAGGGGAACCTTCCTTGCAATGCATGATTTGAAACTATGACAGCGTAGTGTTCTACCGACAGTGGCCTTTGAAACTGTGGTCCCAGCTCTCTCTTCATGTCATTGACCAGCTCCTCCCTTGTAGTTCTGGACTGATTCCTCACCTTTCTTATCATCAGTGATACCCCACGAGGTGAGATTTTGCATGGAGCCCCAGTCCGAGGGAGACTGACAGTCGTCTTTAGCCTCTTCCATTTTCTAATAATTGCTCCAACAGTTGATCTATCTTCACCAAGCTGCCCCATAGCCCTTTCCAGCCTTGTGGAGGTCCACAATTTTGTGTCTGGTGTCTTTTGACAGCTCTTGCCCATGGTAGTAGTTGGCATCTGACTGTGGGGTGGACAGGTGTCTTTAAAGAGCTCAGACAGGTGCTACTAAGATAGATTAATGAGTGGAGTAGAGGTGGACTTTTTAAAGGCGCAGTAACAGGTCTTTGAGAGCCAGAATTCTTGCTGTTTCTTAGGTGTTCAAATACTTATGTTCAGCAGTGCGAGACAAATACATTCTTTACAAATCATACAATGTGATTTCCTGAATTCTGTCTCTCAGAGTGGGAATGCACCTACAATGTGAATTTCAGACCCCTCCATGATTTCTAAGTGGGAGAACTTGCAAAATCGCAGGGGGTTCAAATACTTCTGTTCCTCACTGTGTATGTAATATATATATATATACACACACACATAGATAGATATATAGATAGATAGATAGATAGATAGATAGATAGATAGATAGATATACAGGGGCGGACTGACAACTCATGGGGCCCCCGGGCAATAGGGGATCATGGGGCCCCTGTGTCCTTGCCCAAACTCAAAAAAAACCCTACGAAAAAGGTACCAGGGGCATCTCATGGGGCCCCCTACTGACCCCGGGCCCTTGGGCAGTGTCCGAGTTTCCAAATTGGTCAGTCCGCCCCTGTATAGATAGATATAATATATATATATATATAAAAACTTCAATCTACCTGTATGCTTACATCATCCTGCACCAGTAGCAGCCATGCTGAATCTGCAGACCTCTGTGCTAGAATATACAAGCTCGGAGATGTGTGAGGAGAAATGTTCCAAAGCTGACATGTTTCAGTCACTAGGGTCAGAGGAGAGGACTCTGCAGTATAGTGAAACTATTTCATTTACAGAGTAGGCTGGAGGTGGATGCTGTATGTACGGGTTTTTTGTTGTTGTTTTTTTTTTTAGATACTCTGTTTATTTTTGTCACTTTTCTTGTAAAAGTTCTTCAGACCCCTTCCCTCTGCACCTACTTATATTACCAAAAACTCTGAGTGTAAGCATTTAAAAGAAAAATAGATTACGGATTTTAATTGCAATCATTCTGCTTAATTAGTCTAAGCAGCAGTTTTCAATCTTTAGAGAGAGATGCTGGAATACATTTTAGGGAGCCAAGTTCAAATTCAGCATTTCTCCAGGAAACATCTGCCTGGGAAAATGAAACGACCTGAATATTCATGGGAAGAAAAGGAGGTTCCAATATATTTATTTCTTAGGGGTTCCAATATCATATTTATGTGTTAGGGGTTCCAATATGTTATTTATTAGTTAGGGGCTATAATATATTTTTCTTCAGGGTTCCAATATATTTTTTTTTATTTGTTAGGGGTTCCAGTATCGTAATAATTTCTTAGGGGTTCCAATATCTTATTTGTTTCTTAAGGGTTCCAATAATTTTTTATATGTTAGGTGTTCCAATATCCTATTTAAATGTTATGGATTGCATAATGTTCTCTATTTCTTAGGGGTTCCAATATCTTATTAAATGTTAGGGGTTTATTTATTTCTTAGGGATTTCAATAATTTTTTTATATGTTACGAGTTCCAATATTTTATTAATTTGTTAGGGGTTCCAATAATTTATTCATTTCTTAGGGGTTAAAATATCCTATTTATATGTTAGGGGCTCCAATATCTTATTTATTAGTTAGGGGCTATAATATATATTTTTTATATATATATTAGGAGTTCCAATATTTTATTTATGTTTAAGGTTTTCAATATTTTATTTATTTCTAAGGGGTTCCAATATCTTATTTATATGTTAGGGGCTATAATATCATATTTTGTTCTTAAGGGTTCCAATATTTTTTTTTATATGTTAGGGGTTCCAATATCTTATTTGTTTCTTAAGGGTTCTAATAATTTTTTTTATATGTTAGGGAATCCAATATTTTATTTATTTCTTAAGGGTTCCAATATTTTTTTTTATATGTTAGGGGTTCCAATATCTTATTTATTTCTTAAGGGTTCCAATATTTTTTTTTTATATTTTAGGGGTTCCAATGTCTTATTTGTTTGCTAGGGGTTCCAATATTTAATTTATTTGCTAAGAATTCCAAAATCATATTTATTTCTTAAGGGTTCTAATATCTTACTTATTGTTTAACTACTATAATATCTTTTTTATTTCTTAAAGGTTCCAATAATATATTTATATGTTAGGGATTCTCATATCTTATTTATGTCTTAGGGGTTCCAATAACTTATTAGTTAGGGGCTGTAATATCTTATTTATTTCTTAAGGGTTCCACGAATGTATTTGTATATGTTAGGGGTTCCAATATTTTATTTATATATTAGGGATTCTCATATCTTATTTGTTTGCTAGGTGTTTCAATCTTTTATTTATTTTTCAGGAGTTCCAATATAATATTTATTTCTTAGCGGTTCCAATACTTATTTGTTTCTTTGGGGTTCTAATGTCTTCTTTCCAGTGGAGCTATACTCACCTTCACTCCAGGGATCTGGCGTCCTGAATCTCTCCATCTTCCGCTGACATCTTTAAGTGCCTGGCTTCAGGGTGTCTCGTTCAATGGCCGGGCGGGGATGGCATCACTCCTGTGCATGCGTGGGAACTTGGTCGTCTTGCATTGCATACACAGCTCACTGTACAGGGGTGGAAATGCAGTACATTTAATGCAGAAGAGACATAGCATGCCACTCCTGCATTAAAATCCCGGCCTGTTCGCCTATTTTTTATTATTTTGTTAAAGTGTTATTAAACCCGGACCCTGCATTCACTATATCCGCTCTCCCCGGACCCCGCATTCACTATATCCGCTCTCCCCGGACCCCGCATTCACTATATCCGCTCTCCCCAGACCGTGCATTCACTATATCCGGTCTCCCTAGACCCTGCATTCACTATATCCGGTCTCCCCGGATCCTGAATTCACTATATCCGCTCTCCCCAGACCCTGCATTCACTATATCTGGTCTCCCCGGACCCGGCATTCACTATATCTGCTCTCCCCGGACCCCGCATTCACTATATCCGGTCTCCCCTGACCCCGCATTTACTATATCCGGTCTCCCCGGACCCTGCATTCACTATATCTGGTCTCCCCGGACCCGGCATTCACTATATCTGCTCTCCTCGGACCCCGCATTCACTATATCCGGTCTCCCCGGACCCCGCATTTACTATATCCGGTCTCCCCGGACCCTGAATTCACTATATCCGCTCTCCCAGGACCCTGAATTCACTATATCCGCTCTCCCCGGACCCCGCATTCACTATATCTGCTCTCCCCGGACCCTGCATTCACTATATCTGCTCTCCCCGGACCCTGCATTCACTATATCTGGTCTCCCCAGACCCTGCATTCACTATATCTGGTCTCCCCGGACCCTGCATTCACTATATCCGCTCTCCCCGGACCCCGCATTCACTATATCCGCTCTCCCCGGACCCTGCATTCACTATATCCTCTCTCCCTGGACCCTGCATTCACTATATCCGCTCTCCCTGGACCCTGAATTCACTATATCCGCTCTCCCCGGACCCCGCATTCACTATATCTGCTCTCCCCGGACCCTGCATTCACTATATCTGCTCTCCCCGGACCCTGCATTCACTATATCTGGTCTCCCCAGACCCTGCATTCACTATATCTGGTCTCCCCGGACCCTGCATTCACTATATCCGCTCTCCCCGGACCCCGCATTCACTATATCCGCTCTCCCCGGACCCTGCATTCACTATATCCTCTCTCCCTGGACCCTGCATTCACTATATCCGCTCTCCCCCGGACCCTACATTCACTATATCCGCACTCCCCGGACCCTACATTCACTATATCCGCTCTCCCCGAACCCTACATTCACTATATCCGCTCTCCCCAGACCCTGCATTCACTATATCCACTCTCCCGGACCCTGCATTCACTATATCCGCTCTCCCCGGACCCTGCATTCACTATATCCGCTCTCCCCGGACCCCGCATTCACTATATCCGCTCTCCCCCCGGACCCCGCATTCACTATATCCGCTCTCCCATAGTACACACAACCTGGTAATGCAATTATTTTACTAAATACCTTTTCCCATCAGCAGTATATAGCAGTCTTGTGATTTCTATCAGTGTCCAGCAGAGCACTGGTTAATGCTTGTAGGAGGAGTTTTCTTTCTGCTCTAGGAGGATGCAGAACCCCCTGACCTCTGTCTGGACAGTACTTATTGGCCCTGTGGTGATCATATGCACTCTCCCAAGAAAAAAAAAAATGCTCTACCAATACACACCAAACTGAGCATGTGCAGAATAACTAAGGTTCAGTCTGTCTTATCAGGAGTTAAGACATTTGAACAAGAGGAGGATCAGAGAAGACAGGATCAAACATCCTTTTTACACAATGCAGAGGATTAACCCCTTAGGTTCCACAGTGAGTATAACAAGCATGCTTTACTGCATCTACAGACTGATTGTACTGTGGGGGTTCAGTAACCCTTTAAGTTCTACTTTACCTTTTGTATTGCAGCCGAGTCCCGATGTAATGAACAGATCGTATTGTTATAGACAGGTGTTCCTGCTCCACGCTTGTTGGAATATTACCAAACATAACTACATTGTACCCAGCTGATATTTTTATGTGCATTTTACATTTAATTAATTTTCGAAGAGAAATGCAGAGTGGGAGGGGGGGATGGGGAGGAGATTGAAGGAGTTGGGGGGGGGGGGGAGGGGAAAGGGAGGGTAGGGGAAGTGGGATATAGATAAATTACGTCAATAAGAATGTATCGATTTGATGTCTTTTTTTATACAAGTAGGTGATTGTGATTTGTATTTGGATGAAAATTAATAAATATTTATATAAAAAAAAAAATATTTAATTGTTTTGCAGCATAAGCAGTAAAAAGTATAAATACAGAAAAAGAAATGCAAACATAAAGAGGAAGGAAAGGCTGGCCGGACAGACGAACAAAGCCGGACGCGAGGACCCGACATCACTTCTAGTTTATTCGGAAACTTTGGGCGCCATTTTTTCAAAAATTTGAAAGCATTCAAAAACACTAGTGGTGAGACCCTCCTGCGCTCCAAATAATGTGTTTAAACAATTAAAACAAATTAAATATATGAACCCCAAACAGCTGCTAGCATTAAATCATATACCAGTGATCAAGTGAATATAAACCATATAAATGCTGCGCTACATTCAAACTTATTAAGTGAATGTGGAATCCAATGACACAAATCCAATATAGTGACAATAATAATGAAATAAATAATACGTGCTTACTGATAACAAAATTATCAAATAAAACACCCAAAAAGATGAAAAAACACACAAACTTAAATCTATACGCATGTGCATGAAAATACACATACATATAATTACATCACACGTGCAAATGTGAAGTGAAATAATGGTTACTTATTAAACGCAAACAAAAAGTCCAATATAAAAATGTTGAAGGTGAACAAAACTGTAAACGGTGTTTCCAATAATACTGTAAAGTGACCACAGGTGAAAACAAATCGTGCAGGTATCTGGGTGTAGATAGAGCTCATGTGGACTGGCTGCTATGTAAGTAAGTGGAATTTTTACCAAAAAGTTTTATGTTCCTATGTTCCTATGGTATAATAAATATACTACACTATGGGAGGATTCCTCTGTTTTGTTCTGAGAGATTGATATTTCACCTATACCTGGAGAAGAGCTTGAGTGGGAATATTAAATCCTGAAAAGCGTTTCTGGAGTGCTGTGGTGCCTGGAGGATCTGTGAGAGGGATCCATTATTGCTCTTTGATCCGCAAGGGTCGAAGTGATGAGGTGAGAGGCTAATCCAGAAGGTGGTTGGATTCATATATATATGGACTTTTTGTTTGCGTTTAATAAGTAACCATTATTTCACTTCACATTTGCACGTGTGATGTAATTATATGTATGTGTATTTTCATGCACATGCATATAGATTTAAGTTTGTGTTTTTTCATCTTTTTGGGTGTTTTATTTGATAATTTTGTTATCAGTAAGCACGTATTCAAAAACACTGATCTTGGTGTGCAGAGGAGGGAATTGGGGACTTATAGAGCCCCCCTCCCAGATCCCTCCATAAAAAATACCTGTCATGTGCCTATTACTGTCACAGGGGATGTTTGCAGTCCTTAGGCTCCGTTCACATATGAGCATAAAGCTTTTCATCGTTTTTGCACATTTTGTGGTGTGCGTGTTTTGCGCATTTTCATACAGCGTTTTAATGCATTTTTTGAAGGTTGGCGTACTTTTATTAGTCAATAAAAAAAAATGATAAATCGTGAGAAATGCAGCTCTGCATTTCTCACTGTTAATCATTTGTTTATTGCCTTTTCTGCGAGCAGCTTTTTTATTTTTATTTATATATATTTTTTTAAAATTTTGCATTTTGTGTATTAATCCAAGCGCAGGTTTGATTTTTTTTCTACTAAAAAAAATATCATCTGTTTTTATTATTCTTATTCCTTTTTTATTATTTTGTTTTTTTTGTTAGGGTAAGGGGTTAGTTAAGGTTCTAATAACCAGGACCCGGGGCTCCCGATTCCAGGTCACATGATCGCTGTTATAGCCTCTGATTGGCTATCACAGTGATCAGTCACTCTACAGCAGCTCTGCATTTCTCACTGTTTATCATTTGTGTATTGCCTTTTCTTCAGCTTTTTTATTTTTATTTATATATTTTTTTTTTAATTTTGCATTTTGTGTATTAATCCAAGCGCAGGTTTGATTTTTTTCTACTTTTTTATTATTTTGTTTTTTTGTCAGGGTAAGGGGTTAGTTAAGGTTAGGTTACGGTTAGGATTAGGTTTGGTTTGGGATTAGTATTTTATTTATTATTTTCTTACTATTTATTATTTTATTTATAGTGTTTTACTTAATATTTTCTCATTTATTTATTGTTAGGGTAATAATAATAAAATGAATAAATACATGTAAAATAAATACACAAGTAAAAAAAAAAAAAATCATAAATAAATACTAGATATTAATAATTAGTTACATAGTTAGTCTGGCTGAAAAAAGACCATCCAGTTCAACCATTAAGGGAAGAAAAAAAAAAAAAAACTTCCCAACTTCGTTCTAATAACTAGGACCCAGGGTTCCCGATTCCAGGTCACATGATCACTGTTATAGCCTCTGATTGGCTATCACAGTGATCAGTCACTCTACAACAGCTCTGCATTTCTAACTGTTTATCATTTGTGTATTGCCTTTTCTGCGAGCAGCTTTTTTATTTTTATTTATATATTTTTTTTTTTTTTAAATTTTGCAATTTGTGTATTAATCCAAGAGCAGGTTTGATTTTTTTCTAATAAAAAAAAAATATCATCTGTTACATCATTTGTTGCTAGGTTTTTTTTTTTTTTAGTTTTTCCATCAGCTTTAGTTTTAATTATTCTTATTTATTCCTTTTTTATTATTTTGTTTTTTTGTCAGGGTAAGGGGTTAGTTAAGGTTAGGTTATGGTTAGGATTGGGTTTGGTTTGGGATTAGTATTTTATTTATTATTTTTCTTATTTATTATTTTATTTATCGTATTTTACTTACTATTTTCTCATTTATTTATTTTTTGTTAGGGTAATAATAAAATGAATAAATACATGTAAAATAAATACACAAGTAAAAAAAAAAATCATAAATAAATACTAGATATTAATAATTAGTTATATAGTTAGTCTGGCTTAAAAAAAAAACATCCAGTTCAACCATTAAGAAAAAAAAAACTTCCCAACTTCGTTCTAACAACCAGGATTCGGGGCTCCCGATTCCAGCTCACATGATCGCTGTTATAGCCTCTGATTGGCTATCACAGTGATCAGTCACTGTACAGCCCGGCCCCCTTGGGGTTTTTTTTCTCTCTATGAATGGAGGAGAGAGATGCATTGTATCTCTCTAACTTCTGGCATAGAAGGGAAAAAAACAAAAAATGTTTGGAAAAAAAAAAGATAAATGTTAAAAAATTAAATAAATAAAAAATACCTAGATCAAGGTTTGATCTAGTTCAGTGCCAGGGTAAGTGTTTTGATCAAGGTCAAAGGGTCTGGGTCAAAGGTCAGAATTTATAAATACTGTATAATAATAAATAATAATAATAATAATAATAATAAAATAAAAACAAAATTGGTATCAGTGTGTTTTAGGTAAAAAAAAAAAATGCGCACTATTGTTTCTCGGCTGTACTCCGGGTACAAACAACAAAAATAACATACACATATATGGTATCGCTGCGATCGTCAAGAGCTGGAGAATTTATTTTGGGTTGTTCTTTGGTGGTAGGTTATGGTAGTAACAACAAACACACAGCTAAATAAAAAAAAATATCTTTTTTTACTATTTTTGGCCAGTTTTCCATTGATAATAAAAAAAAAAATCAGGAGATATCCATTACCATTTACCACCAAATGAAAGCCCAATTTATCCTGAAAAAAACAAGGTATGATCCATCCGGATGTACAAAGTAGTTGTGGTGATATGGATGGTTTTACTAACAGATGTCAACATCGCAAAATTGTGCTTAGGCATTTACATTTGTTTTACCCTTAGGCATGAAGGGGTTAACCAGCTCATTGTGAAGTATGAAAAATATTACTGGAACTTAACTGACATGTCACAAAGTATCCGAATATCCAAATATGTGATAGTTCATATTTTTACACATTTATATGTTTTAAAGACTATAATAAAAAAATACATTATCAATAAAAAATACATTATAATATAAATTCCTTAACATTTTGCAGACAGGTGTTCAGAATAGAAGCGTAAAACAATCGATTTGTCGGTATAAAGCTGAAATCCAGTCTCAGTTCCTGAACCCTCCAATGATCCCCCCCCCCTTCCCCTCAAAGATTCCCCGCTTTATTTTTTTAAATTATTTTTATGATTACTTTTTTTTTGTAAAGTTTTCATGCAGGTCATGTGTCTTCCAGGTAGGTGTTCATATCTGCACCATTCTTTGTACCATTGATCACATGGGCACTATTGTCTGTATAATTACACTGCGAGTGCAGGACTCC